GTGAGATAGAGACCCCAGACGGTGCAGATGCTAAGAGCTTTAAGTACAGAGTGGAGCTGGTTCATCAAAAAGACTGTTTCCTGTTAGCAGCAGATTGAAGGGACAAGGCTGCCGACAAGCTGCTGGAGAAGAAATGATTCCATCAGGAGCCCCAGATCCTGGGTGGACATGCAGTGGCAGGATTTTATTTTTTTTTTCTTGGTTGGTTTTGTTTGTTTATTTCCTCTGCTGGTGTTAGACTCAATCTGTCCTCATTACTTTTCTATATTATTCCCTTATGACTGGGCAATTTATTCCATACCCATTGGGTATTGGAAATATGTTACTTGGTCATTTTATTTTATTGCATATGGGCTCATAGTTGAGAGGGCACCTAAGAGACTTTGGACTTCTGACTCTTAACCAGTAGAGGGACTAAAGCTAACACTTTCCAGAGTCAATGAGTTGTGCACTGTGAGATGAAATGAAAGTTTATGGGCCAGGACCAACATCTGAACGTTGGCCTCTGCTCTCCACGTGCATGCCCAGCGCTCCACACACAAAAAGTAGTAAAACAGTCATAACTGGGGCTGGATGCGTGGTTCAGCAGCTAAGAGCGTTTGTGGCTCTTTCAAAGGACATGAGCTGTTTCCCAATACCATGTTAGGCATCTTACTACCACATGTGACTCCAAATTCAAGGCTCTGACACCCTCTCCTGCCTTTCCTTGTCAACTGTGCTGAGGAACAATACCATCACACAGACCCAAAACAGACACACAACGTTCACAACTGAGTCGACCCCAAATTTTACCTGACCCCTCTATGTTGCGCAAAGTTTTCTGGGTGACATTTATACACCCTGCAAGCACTGCTGTGGATTAGTGTGATCTGAAAACTATACAAAGCAAAGGTGGTAGTCACTCCAGCCTATGTAGTGGAGTCAGGACTGGGTCGTGCCTACTTGGAATCTCGCTGAGACTCAGCTCTTCAGTCAATGCAAAACTTAATTGTTTGTTACAAAACTCAAAATGAAATCTTTTCCACTTCCTTCAGTGAGTAAGCAACAGGAAAAGAGAGTAACAATATAGAGTCGGCTGGGCATGAAGCTGCGGAGGTCCAGCCGCAGACTGGGTTCAGGCCCTGAGACGGGGAAGGGGCGTCAGAGCAAAGAAGTGATTTACCCAACCCCCAGGTGAGTGGCACAAATGGCGGGCCCCGAGTAGTTCCAGTGTCTTTATTTCTATATCAAAACCAAGCATGCTTTTCCAAACAAACAAACTAGCTTTCCCCATCCTCCAACGTTAACGTCTGGCAAAAACAAATATGTCAAATATGTTTTTCCCAACTTTTACTTCAGAACATCTTTAAACCCAAAACAACACTTATCATTTTGCTACCTTGGCCAAATACCGAGCCAGGTACATCCTGTCTTTAGACAACTAGAGCCCACATTTTCAAGAACAACAATCTGTTCAAAACGTATTTACAGAAATAGGGGTGGTCTGTCTCCGATTCTGTCAGCACTGAATCAGAACAGCTCCTGCGTCTGGAGTGGCAGCCGACATCCCCAGATGAGAAACCTGAGAAGCATCGGCTCCCACAGAATTTTAAGGAGAGATACTCTAGGAAAAATAATGGCATTTTCAGGAACATCATATCTGTCCTATGCATGATTGACAAAATGACACCAAAACCACCAAGAGAATCAATGTTACAAGAGAGAAGAAAACGTGCAGGCCATGCGGTCCCAGCAGTACTCTGTGCTGTCCAGAAGTCCACTGGTCCTTTCTGAGTGAGACTGTCCCTGTGGGCTTTTGCCTCATCTGGAGACGCAATGAACAACCACTCATGTATTTGTATAAAACTAGGTCACACGGCTTAATGAAGCTTAATCGGAGAACACATGCACCATGTGACAGGCCCGGAACTCCAAACCGAAAACTGACGAAATAATTAGAGACAAAATTCAGTCAAGAACATAGGGACTGTTAGATGGATCCGCAGTTAAGAGTACTTGTTAAACAATCATAAGGAACAGAATTCGGATTCCAGTATAAACAAAAAATTGAACGTTGTGCACATACCTGTAATCGCAGGGGAGTGGATGCAAGAGGATTGCTGGGGCTCAGTGTTCTCTAACTTAGCTAAGAAAATGGGAGCCCTAGGTTCAGAGGGACTCTGCCTCAAAGAACTCAGCAGAGAGCGATTTTAAAACATCCTCTTCTGGCCTTTGTACACACAGGTGCATTCCCCAAAACACACGAGTGTGCATGTACTTATCCACATACAGATCTATCTAAATGAGTAGAGAAAACTAGACAAAAATAAGCATATATTTCACTTTAGTTTTAAAGCAGTTTATCAAGACAGGAAAATGTGACACTCTAATTCTGTTTGTTCTTTTTTTTTTTTTTGAGACATAATTTCAACGATTCCAGGATTGTCTGTAACTCATTATATAGTTGAAAATGACCTTGACTTTATCTTTCTGCATCCTTACCCCAGTGCCTAGAGTACAGGCATGTGCTTCTGTGTCTAAAACTCTGTTTTAATTTAAGTCTTATGATGAGAGGGGACTATTAAAAGCCCAGAAATAATAGGGAAGGGAGAAATACGAGATTCCCCCTGCATAGGTGGGAACTTCAGTGGAATACATCCCTAGGGAGAAGGAAGTGGGTGAGTCTACTAGTGTGATCTCATTTTAAATCTAAGTTGCCTTAGTGACATTGAAGATCACAAGTCATCATTTAACCTCATCCTCAAGGGCTCCAAGATTCCTGCCTCCTGAGAAACGGGTCCTTCAGTTCCACCATATTCCTTTAGCTATGACACGAGAGAGCTAATGCAATGGCCCTCTGCTGTAATCATGGCTGAGGCAGGAAAATCACTAAGAATGGATTGCAGAGAACAATGGAGTTGGCCTGACCTAACTGCTTTGAAAGACATATGTCATAGATTTTTCAGGTTCAAGTCCAGGGCTCCTGGGGCACAATGTGCCTTTCAGTCCCTGAGAGACTAATGCACCCCCCAGGCAGTGAAGCATGCGGGGTGCTTTGTGTTTCTCTGTATGTTCCCTTAGAAGTCAACAAAACACAGAATTTGACAGGGCAATTGGTCTTAGTCATTAATCTTGTGCGCCCTGAATAGCTTGCAGACGTCATTGTATCCTGGCAACTATACCTGTATTGATTTTGACAATTGCCATTATATTATGTTTCTAATAAAGGTATAAAAAGTCTGATTGCTTTCAATAAAATTGCCACAGACTAAGTTTTACTGTGAACCCTCTAACTGGCCTGGTTACATTCATCATGAACATATCAGGTGACCTTGGTCTGGTAAGTAAGCATGGGTGATTACATGGATATAACCAAAATGATGATGGACATGTAATACACTTAAGAGTAGGCTTTAGAATATAGAGCAGAGCCTCAGACCTGCCCGTGAACTGGATCCCTCTCCTCCTCAGCCACCTACAGTTGCTTTCATCTCTCACAGGCTTTCATCTATGTTTTATTGTTGGTTATGGATACTCTACAAGCCCCCAACACAATACAAGCTCCATTCATATTGATCTTAGTTTCCCAAAAGAACATTGCTGATTATACAACATACATTCTCTGTAAGACATGGAGAAATCAGGACGGAAATAACCTGAAAACTTCTTCTGTTCTGGCTAGCTTCCACGGTGCCAGAGAGTGTTAACTGGGGGTGGAGGGGTCACCAATAGAATTACCCAGCACTTGACCGAATGCTACAGTACTGACTTCCTGAACAAGATGTGTGGATTGATGCCATGGTGGTGTGACTGCTTTGATAGCAGCCAAACACGTCCTTGGATTTGCAGTCTGCGCCACAGGAGCAGTCAAGCCTGGAAATGTAAACCTGATCAAATCACGAGTGGGAAGATCATGGGCCACAGGGGAGCCTCAGGACCATTGTTTTGATTAATAGACATGTTGTCAAACTGTCTCCAAGATGCCTATGTCTATACTCATACAGTAGTGTTACTCTCAACCTTGGCCAAAGAAACATCTTTTTGCTGTGAGCAGCCATTATCTAAGACCCTCATAACTAGTCAAAGAGCTGGAAATGCGGTACTGTTGAATGCTCAGCCGTAAATGTGACAATGACATCCCACCCCACTCATGAGACTCAGAGACCTTCAAGGAAGAGGAAGGAGAATTTAGAATTGAAGGATGGAGAGACATCCTTCTTCTGCCTTCTAGACATAACATGGCCATTACCCTCCTGAGCTCACTGCAGCTGTGGTCACCTGACCATCAACACCCTATCATGGGTGGGGCAGAGTACACGAGGTCCCACTCCTAGCTTTGGGGCAGTTGACAGTTGATGGTTTCCAAGAGGTGACTATCATTCTTCTTCAGGAGTGTAGCCACTGACAAGTTGCCCATGGTGCAGGCCTGCAAACAACTCTAATTTTAAACTCAGTGGGAAAGAAGGATGTAGAAGAAAATAGAGGGAAGCATGGAAGGAGCAAGAGAAGGAGGTGGCAGGAGGGAGAGAGGAAGAGCAGTAGCAAAGACAGGAGTAAAGTGGCCACCAGGTGGCGCACACCTTTAATCTAGCACTTCAGAGGCAGGGGAATATCTTTGAGTTCAAGACCTGCCTGATCTACATAGGGAGTTCCAGGGCCAGGACTACATAGAGACCCTTTCTGTCTTCCTCCCTGCCCCCCCCCCTCTCTCAATGTGTGTGTGGAGAGAGAGAGAGGTGAGTTTTGTATGTATATATTTGCTATATGTATATATGTTTGTTTTATATGTGTGAGTTTTTCCATTTTTTTAGGTATGTATATGAAAGTACACGACGGCTTCAGCTTCAGATCATCCGGCTTCTCTCTCCTGGGTGGTGTTGTTGCAGGTTTGATGCTACCAAGCATGGCAGGTAGGCATGGGCTTGGGAAGGGTTCCAGAGAGGGAAACCAAGAGGAGGATGAGAGAGGGAACTGGCGATGAATGTAATCAAAATACATTATAAACACGTACCGAATTGTCAAAGAGTAAACAGAAAATTATTTTTAATAAAACCCCATGCTTGAGCTTGAGAAGAACTCTCATCAGCCTAGAACGCCAAAGGTGAACAAAGGCAGAGAGGGTTTGGATCAAATACACCAACCCAGCCTCTCCCCAGGACACCACCAGGATCTGTGTTTTCCTCTAGACTCCCTGCTGGCACTCGATGAGATTGTTTATTCTGGGATCCACAGACGTAGGCAGGTGGGTGAAGAGTTTCCAGAACGGGTGTGGGGTCACTTCGCGCCCGTGCTTAGCGGCTCCACCCGCAGCCACAGCCCGCCCTCCGCGCGCAGGATCAGCTCCGCCTGCCTGCGCGGCTCCTTGTCGTCGGGCCGGAGGCGGAAGCGCAGCAGTGTGAGCGCCAGCGCCACCTTCATCTCGCTCATGGCGAAAGTCTGTCCTATGCAGTTCCTGCGGGAGGGCGGGATGGGAACTCTGACTGCACCGGGAACAAGACAGGCGTCCTCGAACCCAACCTAACCGGCCCCCCGCCGCGCCTGGTCAGCATTAAGGGCAGGAGGGACGGTGACAGGCCTGGGACACCGCTTGTGCATCCACATCCCAGGAGCCTGGCTCAGCCGCGGCGCCCAATTCAGACCAGGGCGGGGCTCTGAGCACTAAACGGCAACCCTTCACCTTCCAACCCCAAGCTCTGGTGACCATTGGCATACCTTGTGCAAAGAACGGAAAGGAGACCCAAAACCCGACCATCCCAACCCCTTCCCCTTACCCCCAGTCATGTTCAGATGTTTCCCCTTCACCCTAAGCCCTCTAGCCTCACCTGGGCCCGGCAGAAAAGGGAATAAAAGCCAGAGGTGACCTCTTCTGAGGGTTTTCTGGGTCAAAGCGGAAAGGGTCATAGACCTGCGGGTCAAGCAAAACTAATCTGATGGGTCGTGTCTGTCCAGCTCAGAAAAGACGGAAGTGAAGACAGGAGAACCATCCAACCTTCCCAAGTCCTAGAGATGAAGGGAGGAGCCTCACCTCCGGGTCTGGCCAGACTGAAGGATTGTGATGAACTCCGAAAATGCTGATGACGCATGCGCTGCCTTTGGGTAGAAGAGAGTCAGTACCAGGTCTGTGCTACGTCTAGGAACCCATCAACCTAGGGGCCTCTTCCCAATTTGTGTGGGCACCTTTGGGGATGACTCGACCATCCGGCAACACAATGTCCTGGATGCAGCCCCGGACCAGGTCTGTACCCGGAGGATGCAGCCGCAGACTCTCCTTGATGCACATGGTCAGAAAGGGCAGCTGGGCCAGGTCGTCCCTGAGAAAACCACGACACAATTAACCGTGAGCAAAACAGAGTCCCACTCAGCCTCACTACCATCCAGGGATACTAACCACGGTCACCTTCTTCAGTCAGACGTACCACCTTCTTCAGTCAGACGTACCAAAGATGTCTATTTGTTATTTTGACTCTTTGTTAACCAAAGACTCAAGCAATGAAGAATGACCTTGAACTCCTGATCCTCCTGCCTCTGCCTTCCAAATTCTGAGATTACAGAGGTCTGCTACCAAGAATGGCTCTGGACTGAAGAATAAGCCTTAAAACTGAAAATCACAAAAATACCAGAAAAAAAAAAAGCTTGACCTTGTATTAGAAATGTTTACAAGGAAACATACCCTTCAAACGGTATCCTCTCAAATGCTTCCATACATTCGAAATCAAAATGCTTTAAAATTTTTTTATTCACTGATCTTGGTGAGGTGGCACTTAGCCTCAGAAAGTGGAGGCAGGAGGATCAGGAGTTAGAGGCTAGCCTGGGCTACAGGAAATGCTGCATAAAAAAACTATATTGTGAAATAACAAAAGCAGAAATAAATATTCCTGGGCTGGTGAGACAGCTCAGATGGTAAAAGAACCTGCCGCCAAGCTTGATTACATAAGGTCAATCCCCAGGACACAGATGATAGCAAAAGAGAGCCGACTGTAGCCTAGTTATCTGCCACATGTGCGTGTAGACACACGTAGATAAGTACATGTATGAATGAATGAATGAATGAATGAATGAACATAATTTATTTTGTTAGTAGAAGAAAAGTCTCCTTTAAGGTGCTGAGTGAGAATGGCCCCATAGGCTTGTATGCTTAGTCCCCATTTGGTGAACAGTTTGGGGAAGCATTAGGAGATGCAGGCTTGGTGAAGGAGATGTGTCACTGAGGGTGGACTCTGAGGTTTCAAAAGCCCATGTCAGGCCCAGTCTGTCTCTTTCTCTCTCTCCCTCCCTCTCTTTCTTCCTCTGCCTGCCACCTCTTAAGCTCTCCACTGCTTCTCCAGCGCCATGTCACCATAGTGATCCTCACAGCCCTCCGAAGCTGTAAGCAAGCCCAATGAAATACTTTCTTCTATATGTTTCCTCGGTCACAGTGTCTCTTCCCGTGCTTTGAGCTGCCTGGAATACACACATGCACTCCATACTCAAGGGTGATCTATTACTAGAAATGTGTCAGGTTTTCCAAATGATCAACATTTTCAGCATCATCCAATCAAACTCTTGAGAGTTGTTTCCTTTTCAGGATTTATTTGTTGATATTTTCATCAACGTGTATTTTGATTATATTCACCCTCCACTCCCCTCTTTTGTCCTAGTCCCCTTCTCAATGAAACCTCCCTAGCTCCATGTTTTGTCTTCCTTCCTTCCTTCCTTCCTTCCTTCCTTCCTTCCTTCCTTCCTTCCTTCTTTTCTCTACTATTTATTTAGTCATTGTTAGAGCATGGCAATCCTTCTTTTCCAGCAGTGGGCATCACAGAACTTAAACACTAGTGAAGTACCCACAACTAAACTGTATCCCCACCTGGAAACCTTATTCTAATTAAAAGAGTTAAAGTTTACAAAGACGAGTCAATCTAAACATAAAAGGGGAGCCATGAATGGTGGCTCGTACCTTGAATCCCAACTATCTAGAATCAGAGGCAGGGGGATTTCTAAGTCGGAGGCAACCCTGATCAACATAGTAAGTTGCAGGACAGCTAGAGCTATATAGTGTGAACATCTCAAAAACAAATTTTTTAAGGAGCCCACCTACCATTTACTAAAACCTATTACAAAACCATAGTAGCAAAAATGAGAATAACTTTAAAAAACTATGTTACTCCACAAGAACATGAAAAGAGATGTGTGGGATCCAGAATGAGGTGGGCACGTGGATACCTGGAAATAAGGCGTTGACTGAAGACTGCACACATGGCTGAGAAGTGGATAGGTAGAGTAGGAGAGGTCAAGAAGAACTAGCAATAAGCAAACAAAACGTGCTATATCAACCAGGTGTGGAATTGCAGCTGTGAGGAGGTAGAGGCCGGAGGATTAGAACAGTCAAGGATAGCCTCAGCCACACAGCAAGTTTGGAAGCCACTGAGACCTTCATGAGAAACGGTCTCAGAAAAGGGGGAAAAATGTCTCCTCCAAACAGGGAAGATTCTATCCCACATAAAACATTAAACTTTTAAAGTGAATTAGTGTATTGGTCACTTCAAAAATTTGTCATTTCCTTGTGGTAGGAATATTCAAAATCCTTTCCTCTGGTTATTTTGAGGTGTGCAACACATTCTTTTCAACTGGTAATGCCGGTGTGCACAGTAGAGAAAAGAAATGCAAGTCTGCCAGCTTTCTAAGCCTCCACTGGGCGAACCCCTTCCCAGACAGGAGGAAGGGAAGCGATATTTTTATGACCTGGCAGGAAGGATGTTTAAACATCTAGAGTAGAAAATGCAGGAACAAATAAAGAAGAAACCAACCTGAATGAGAAAATAATTTCTGTATATTAAGAGACTACGGACAAAATAAAACTCAGATGGGATATTCAGTGATATCTACAATCACTGATGTGTGTGTATAGACACATATAGGTATATATACATAAACACACACACACACACACACACATATATATATATATATAATTGCTGCAAATAAACAAGCAAATGACATGTGACCCGAAAGAGGATATATTCTGGGATTTCTATAGGCTCAGACTCAAGATATTAAAGAGAGAGATACCATGAAAGTAGAACAGAGGCAAGGGGTGGAAGGAGAAAGTGTAAAACAGATCATACAGAAGATACTAGAGATGGGGATGAGAATCAAGAAGAAGAAATTAGGTTTGAAACGCCATAATGAACCCTAACACACTGTATGCAAACTAATTAATTAATGAATTAGATGGAGAGGTGTTCAAACTGGGCGTGTAATCCCTGAATGTAGAGGCATTAAGATACTGACTTCCAGGCCACCCTGTAGCACCCAGTATGGTGGCTCACACCTATAATAACAGCAACAGAGACCACATGGGCCTGTGCTCACCATTCAATCTCCTCAGGATCACGGCCCCTCAGCAGCTCCTGCACCTCCTGCCGGCAGCGCTCTTGGTATTCCGGATGCCTTGCCAGGTTGTACAGGGTCCAGGAGAGAGCACTGGCTGTGGTGTCGTGGCCTGAGGGGCACACAGGCAAACCTAGATCTCTGACCATCTCGGCACCACAGAGGGGCAGTGCTCAGGTATTTCTATCCCCGGGGGGATAGAAAGTGGTGGATGAGTAGACATAGAAACTGGATAAAAGGAGTCAGTACAGGAGTATCTACACTTGGTGCAGATTCACAAGAAATCAAGGGTATAATGAAACCTCCTCCATGAGGTCCTTGGATTGACTGATCGCTGCCTCCTCTGTATTTGTACAGGACCCTCACCTCCAAACATGAAAGTGTCTGCCTCTGCCCGGATGTCCTCGTCAGACAGCTCCTTTCCGTGTTCATCCTGAAGACAAAATGTGGCCCTCAATGCTTGCCATGTCTCAGGGCTGCTGAGCCTGATCTGACACAGCTCTCATAGCCATTGTACTCACAGGATCCGCCTTGTTTCCCCCAGAGCCTGCCCCACACATCCCTCCTTGGTTTCTGACCGTTGCTTGCTCCTTCCACACAGTGTTCAACAGAAGCACTCCTGTGGAATTTCTTTCTAACCTGCCCTTTGTTTTACAAGTACCATCAAAGGCTCTTCAGTATCCTTTTGACCGAATGCAATGTTTTCTATCTAACAAAGAACATTAACATTACTGTAACCCACATAAACCCACCTTGGCCAGCAGGAGCACATCAATGAAGTCCAAAGTCTTGGATTTAGTCCTGGATTTCAGGAACTCGTCAACACTTTGGCTGGAGAGGGTGCGGCGTCTCTCCCTGATGACAGCATCTGTGAAGTCATGCACCAGGTCACAGGCCTTGCGGAAGCGCCGCCCGTCAGCAGTGAGGTAGTACAGGAAGTCCACATACAGGAAGAGCTGCTGGTACTTTTTTGCTACCAAGGAACTGAGCTCCAAAATGGCAGCAATGTATTCACTAGGAGACCTGCAGTTCAGGCCAGAGAGGAAGCAACTTAGCACACACAAAAACCTCAGAGAAGCTCCAGCCAGAGTCCCAGGTCCAGGATCCATCCTGAAAAGGACATCCACAAAGCACAAATTCTGTTTCCTGTTTCCCATGAGTAGCTCCCTGATCCAGGTTTCCAGGGCATAAATGGACATCATTTCCTCTTCTAATTCACTCAGCATCTGCTCCTGCACTTCTCCCTTGGTTTCTTGTGACTCTGCCCAGGCTCAGACCCTCCTCTCCTGGTTCCTTGCATCCTATATCTCCATGAAGCTCCTTTGTTGATTAGATTGTCCAAGCTCGCTGTAACTAGGACTCCCCTCTGTACAGACACTTTCTCTTATGACCTGGGAAACTCAGGATGGAGTTCACACCCTTCTGGCTAGGTAACGCCTTTAAGATCTGGCTCCTAGCTGGAAATGGTGACTCTTGGCTGTGATCCCAATATTTAAGATATGGATACAGGAGGATAGGAAGTGCAAGTCCAATATCATCTACCTAGTGAGTTCCAGGCCAGAGTAACTACAGATTGAGATGCTGTCAAGGAAGAAAAGGGTGAAGGAAGGAAGCAAGGTAAAGGAGAAAGGAAAGGAAGAAGGGCAAGGAAGAAGAGGCTAAGAAAGAAAAGGTATGTGCACTTTAGAACTATCCATGCTGGTTACCTCAGTAATCTATGTAAGATTGAGAGGCATCTTTGAGATCAGTAAAAACACACATCTGCATGGGGTAGGGAGTTTCTAGATTGTTGTAGTAAGAGCTGTGGGCCTCTTCCTGCTACCCAGCTCCCGCACAGCTAGCTTTACCTGAAATAATTACACGGAAACTGTATTCTTTTGAACAGTGCCTGGCCCATTAGTTCCAGCCTCTTATTGGCTAACTCTTACATCTCGATTAACCCATTTTTAATAATCTGTGTAGCCCCACGAGGTATGCTTACCAGGAAAGATCTTAACCTGCATCTGTGTCGGGTGGGAGAATCATGGCAACTGCCTGACTCGGCTTTCTTTCTCCCAGCATTCTGTTCTGTCTACTCCACCCACCTAAGGGCTGGCCTATCAAAGGCCAAGCAGTTTCTTTATTAATTAACCAATGAAAGCGACAGATAGATGACACTCCCACATCACTAGACAAGAGGTAAAATCCTCTCCATGTGGTCAGCCTCAAATCACTGTTTGAGAAGCAAAGATTAGGAAGCTCAGCCATCGTGGTGGGAGCTGCTTTGCCCTGTCATTCCCCACCACGATGGACTGATACCAGTGGACAAACTATGTCCTTCCTTCTCAACATGTATTGCTTAACCAGGCGTTGGTGGTGCATGCCTTTAGTCGCAGCACTCAGGACGCAGGGGCAGATGGATCTCTGTGAGTTTGAGGCAAGCATGGTCTACAGAGCAAGTTCCAGGATGGGCTCTAAAGCTACAGAAAAACTCTGTCTAGAAAAATGAAAATATAAATAAATAAATAAACAAATAAATATGTTTTGCTTATACATGTTGTCACAAAAACAAATCAAACACATCCTCCAACCTAGTTTTTGAGGTATGGCTTCATTGCCTGTTTCAGGTCCCACTCATCCGCATCTCCTTGTCTTTACCCAAATAATTAAAACTCTGGAAGGACCACTTACTCTGTCTCCTTCTCCCGTGTCCTTATATGGCAGTGGTCACCCACCTCCTTCAGGGAGCTCCCTCTGCTCGCTCTTGCCAGTCCCTCCTCCCCAACCTTCTCTCTTGATCCATGGCGCAGGTTTCTGGCCCAGCACAGGGACTCACTCTTGACAGTGGCTGTCAAAGCCAAAGAGGCATTTCTGCAGACTGTCCAACGTCATGAGGCTGATGTTCTCAAACATTTCCAGACTGGCGCTGCCTTCTGTGGCAAGACGCTTCCACTTGACCTTTCGAGAAGAGGACAAGGACAAGGCTAAGCCTTGGCCCCTTGAACCCGTGCCCCTGCAAAACATCAGGAGATCCTCCCTGCTGGAACCCTCCTCTTGGTCTTCTGCCTCAGGTTCTACCTGACCCCAGCGAAGCCAGGCTCGGATGGGAATAGAAGGTGGGGCTGTAGGAAATGGAGACGCAGAGTTGGGAGTCAAGAGCTTTCAGTTAACTCCACCACCTTCTTGGTCAGGCTTCTGCCCTCTCCAGTTACTACTAATCAAGCCTTCAACTTGAGCGTCTTTGTTGTCCCTCAAGCCATACTTCAATGTCTGCTCATCACTCACACTCTCTTATGGCTGGTGGACTTGTATTCGCTCCCTGACCCTTATGACCCTCAGATTTACCATCTATAATGTAACTGTCATAGTCACCTCTACCTCAGAGCAGTGCAGAAATTACAACAGACAACAGATCCCAGAACTGGCATACAGTAGATGCTCAATAAGTGTCATCAATAGTATCACCGTCATTAGCACAGTGGTAAGTGACTATAGAAATGGCCCAGGATCCATAACTCCTCTATCATCAGCCATTGCGATGAAATTGGGAGAGCAGTTCCACTGGGAGGGGGGGACCCATCTCGCCAGGTCTGAACTGAACTGAGAACTTGTTCTTCGCTCAAGAGCATTGTGAGAAAGACTCTATGCTGCTGTGCTGAAATGTAGCTTGGAAAGCCACCGAGCATTCTGCCTCCTCTGTCTCGAATGAATCAATATCTCCACGCTAGCAAAGCAATGATTCCCTAAGGATGAAGGGATGAAGGGAAAGGCCTGGCTGCCCTACCAAGAGCACTTAAATTATTTTTTTTCTCAATGCTGCTGAAAGAAACCAGGGCCTTGCCCATGGGAGGCTAGCTAGTTGGAACTATACTCAAGACCTGATGGACCTTGAACTCACAATTCTTCTGCCTCCACCTCCCCAGTGCTGGAAATACAACAGCATGTCACCATGCCCAGCTGAAGGTCAATGAACTAAGAAAGGTCTACTGTGTAAAACTCGACAGTAACATGTTGCCTTTCCAGAAGTTCTCTAAGAGAAAGTAGATACTGGCCTTCTGTGATCCCTGTTTACATGCTAGAAACATGACTCCATGGAGTCCTTCTGATCACCTTTAAATTCAGATTATTATCCTCATTTTAAAGATGGGGAAACTAAGGTTTGGTGAGGAAAACTGATGTCCCCAAGTCCATGCAGCAGAAACACACCTTCAGATTACATCTGGCAGAAGTCACTCCCTGTTCTGCAGTGTTCTTTGTGGGACCCTGGGTTTGAGGAACTCACGTGCATGATGTTCACGCTCTTATTAAAATTCTTCACATAGGACTTCAGGATGTCAAAGTGGAAGGCGGGCATCAGCAGGCGGCGATGGCGGCTCCACTTGTCACCTGAACTCAGGAAGAGCCCATCCCCTGGAAGGGAAGCCATGGCAGTGGGCAAAGGTGGAAGCTTCCTCTGATCCCCAAGGTGTCCCCTGATCCTCACCTTGAGGTACTCACCCAGCCAGGGCTTTAGGAAGCCATAGAAAGTCATGTCCTTTGGGGCCACCAAAGCTGCAATGAAGGAAAACAATCAGGAGCCATGGAGAGGGTGAAAGGTGAACTTTGGGAGAGGGTGGGGACTCCCAGCCCCAGGGCTCCCCATTTCCCCTCCAAACACAGGAAGGTGGGAAGGGAACAGGGACAAAGAAAGCAGGGAAGAGAAAGGAGGTGAGACAAAACCAGACCAGACTGCAGCTGCAGAAAGAGCAAAGGTCAGCCTGGCAGGGAACAACATGCCCCAGCATGCCTTCACATGGCTACTACATGGTCCATTCTGTCTTCCATATCTGAGCTCAGCACAGCACTCTACAGGCCTTTGCAAAGCCCTAGGACACACTGTCATTTGCATCTCTCTGACATGTCCTGACACATCCTGGTATATATGACAGGGGCACATGTCATCACAACCTGTCATAGACACAACACACATGATATTCCCTGACATGACACAACATGGGTATATAAAAGTCTGGCATGACCTAATTGTGCCCTTCAAATAATCCCAGATTGGCACTGAAATATGGTCCCTTTTGAGTCCTAAATGTGACCTAGATATGTCCCAGACCCCTCTAGTTCTCTCCCCTATGCCACACTAAGCATTAAGTGTTCAAAATTAAGGGCATCTCTATTCTCAGAGCTGTGTGCCTCTGCCTCCTCCAGCCATCAACCAGCCCCAGGACCAACCAGACACAGCTAACCCATCTGGACTCCAGTGGAAATCCCCTGCAGTACTCGGCATACCATCTCTATCCCAAACCATCTCCATCTTTGAGTTGCCTTTAAGGTTGCTGGGACAGCCAAGACTCATTGAACTAAGCAGAAGAAACAGGGTGGATTATCTATAACTTTATCTAGAATCACAGAATTTTTCTTGGCGATTGAATGACTAGAATACATCTTTCCAAGCAAGAAGATAAGGTCCTCCAAGAGGAAAATAGAACTAGAAGATGAAGATTCCTGATTGCACTGTAAGGTATCTAGAATCAACTGTACCTAAAGATCCCTCTGGCAGACATAATTCTTGTGGATGAGGAGATAGCTCAGTCAGTAAAATACTTGCTTTGCAAGCATTAAGAATCTAAATTTCATCCCAAGAGCCCATGTAAAAATGCCAGCAAGGAAGAAAGAAACAAGGAGGATCCCTGAGGCTTATTGGACAGCGAGTCTAGCTTCACTGGTGAGCTCCAGCCTGTGAGGGACAAAGTTGACAGTGGTTCTAGAAATGACAAGAAGGGTTGTCCTCTGTCCTCCACATACATGCATATACACATGCGTGTGCACCCACATACACATATGTACACACATAAACATTCATAAAAGAGAGTCTTCTTCCCAGTTCTAGGGATGGAACCTAAAGCTTGTTCTTGGTAGACAAGTGTTCTACCGCTGAGCTACATCCCCAGTCAAGATAAGAAACAGAGAAGAGGCCAAGAGTTGGGGTCCTGGGAGAGATACCTGGGGCATGGAGCAGGGGAGCAATGAATGCGGGGTCAACAAGCTTTAGCACAGGGATGATGGGTCCCAGCCAACAGAGTTGGACATCTCGGAAGACCTTGCCCATCTCAGTCACCATCTGCATTCCTTCCTCATTGTTCTGGATCTGAGGATGAAGAAAGTGGAGGCTAGTCCTGGCAGGTGTACCAGATGCTCCTACTCTGTGCCCACCACACTCCACCCTTCTCACTCTCCTACTTGGGCTATTCATCTTTGGTTCTTGCTAAGTCCACCAGGGTTCACTACATGTGTTTCTTAGTGTACCCATGTTTCTATATACATACTTTTCTCTGATGTGTAACTCTCCTCATCTCTCTGTTTTATGATCTAAATATGGATGATGGATGGGTGGGTGGATGGATGGATGGCTAGGTGGATGAATACATACATACATACATACATACATACATACATAGGATAAATGATACACAGTTGTATAGACTAATATATATGAACTGAGAATGATAATAAATAAATAGGTATATAGATGATTGATTGATTAATTGATAGATACATACATACATACATATGCATAGATAGATAGATGATAGATAGATAGATAGATAGATAGATAGATAGATAGATAGATAGATAGATGATAGATAGATAGATAGATGATAGATAGATAGATAGATAGATGATATAAATAGATACATGATATACATCCTATATGTAGACAACAGAAAGATTCATGTGTAACTGAAAGGAGAAAATTATTAGCTAAATCTAAATGTACACCTGTGTATTTTTTTTCTTAACTTTAAGTGTCCTTTTTTCTTCTCTCCATTTCCTTCATCTGCTCACTTCCTGGGCTTGTTAGTTTTTATCAACTTGACACAAGCCAGAGTCATCTGAGAAGAGGAAACACCAACTGTATAAACACCTCTAGCAGACTGGCCTCTAAGCAAGTCTGCAGGCATTTTCTGTATTAATGATTGATGTAGGAGGGCCCAGCCTTCTGTGTGTGGAGCAACTATTGGAGAGGTGGTCCTGAGAGGTGTAAGAAAAGCAGCCGAACATGAGCCTAGGGAACAAGGCAGTAAGCAGCACTCCCCCATAGCCCTGCTTCAGTTCCTGCCCTGGCTTCCATTTATGATGTAAGCTGAATAAATCCTTCCCTCCCCATGTTGCTTTTGGTCATGGTGTTTTATCACAGTAATAGAGAAACAAAGTAGAATATGCCCTGCTTTCCTTTCTTTCTTTCTTTTTTTCTTTCCTTCTTTCTCTCTGTCTTAGTCTCTCTGTCTCTTAGTCCACGTGTGTGTGTCCGTGTGTGTGTCCGTGTGTGTGTCTGTGTGTCTGTGTTTCTCCCTTTGTCTCTATGGGATTCTTCCCATATGATCTTTCTCATCTCCAAATTCCAATTCATCTTTTGCTTACGCCCTCCCCACTTTCTCCACTCTTCCCATTAGCAGTAAACTCACAGCTAGTTTCACTCCACCCAGCTCTCTCTCTTACTTGTCCCTGAACCAGAGCACAGCCTACTAACACCAGCTCCGAGTAGGCATCTCCCCAGCTTCACAGCAAAGAATCTTAAAGGTTTACAAATCTTGGTTCCCTACTCAGGAGAGATGTGATCATGGAAGTCATCTAAGGAGGGAACTGATGGGCAGCTCAGGAGCTGGACCCTTGGGTAAGAAGGCAGCTTGTGGGGGCGGGGGGGAGAAAAATGGCAGGGAGACTGTGTGATGTCGGGAGAAGATGGAGCCAGCAGTAGACACAAAAAGACGAGAGAGCTGGGGGATACAAGCGAGAGTGTCATTCTGAAGCCTGTGACAATGATATTCCTGGAAAGAAGGGGACCTCCCCGGTAAAGTAGAAGGCTGTGGAGAGATGGATGAGGTAGGGTCTGGATCTGGCAATCACAAGGTTGGCAGGATGAGGAGCAGGAGGGGAAAGCAGGCAGAGAATGAAAATGACGCACAGGATTGCAGGGTAAGCAGTTGGGAGGTCAGCACAGAAGGAGTCATACTGAAGTGGATGGATAGGAGCAAACAAGGGGAAAAACATATCAGAGAACATGGGGCTGGGTGAGATCATCAGAGGTGAAGACTTCACAATGCCTATGAAAGAAAACCCTATTGGCGAGAACTTTAGACCCTAAGTGCTAAGGGGAGTAGGAGCTAAGGTGGTTTTGAGAGGGGGGCTGGAAGGAGACTGCCGCATTGGAATGTAGAGAGGAAGGAGGAGGTCCTGAGGTGACCTGTGATGAGAGGATGTGATGTCAAGAGGAGCTGGAAGGAAAGAGGGTTGTGGTGACAATGGCACTGGCGGTGGCAGCCTTACAGGTGACATCCATCCAACGCAAGGTGTGGTTCTCGCAACAGGGAGCCAGTGCAGCATGGAGCAAGGGGCACTGTGGATAGAGGGTGTTGAGTTGCAGCCCCTTCCAGAAGCTTAGGTCTGTGTGAGAGGCCAGAGTGGTCCCTAATAAAAAAGAAAACGGTCCTTTTGTGCTGTGACTCAGTGGAAGAGCAGCACACACAAGACACTGGTTCTTACATTCTGGCACGACAAAGTTTAAACACTCCTCAGCTTTGACCCAAAATAGACGTTAGAGTCAGCTGATAAACCTTGAGAGCTGAAGACAAAACAAGGAAGGACAAAGTCCAAGCTGCTGGAGGAATGAGACTGCACGTATCTCTTTTCCGCCCCACAGAGCCCCACAGGTGGAGGTCAGGAAAACAGCTCATTTCAATAGGACAAATAACAGCCCAGAGAGGTACAGACACTGGCCTGTGATCAACAGCCATGGGTCAAGAAAAGGCCAGACGTCGGGACATGCTACAGTGACACCTCAAATCCAACAGCAGAAAGTGAACGGACCAGGGATGTCCCTGCTCTGAGCAGCCCACTCTGGGAGCTCCCGAGTAGGGCAGATGTGCACAGATCAGGGCGAGAGACCTCAGACCGTGAGTCCCAGTGGGGATGTGATGTCAAGCAGGTTTAGATTGGGAAAGAAAGGAAGACTCCAGAGCATAGGGGTGTGAGGTGCTAGAGGTGGATTTGCTGGGACAGCGAGGAGAGAGGGGCTCCCTCACGGTTCTGCTGTCCTACGCCCCTGCCTTTTCCTACCCCCCCATCCCTGATCCCCATTTGTCAAGTCTGTTTATTATCAGATATCCACCCAACCCAACCCATCCTCCCGCCACTCCCACCATGCCCAGGTGTCCCAAAAACCAGTTCCTCTTAGGGGCCTGAGGGAAGCATCTGAGGCGGGCGCATTTCTCGTAGAAGGAGTACGCCCAGGCCAGAATTTTAGCCACGAGCCACGAAGCCCCGAAGAGCAGCAGAAGATGCCAGGGGGAGGCCAGCACTGGGTCCACGCCCAGCCAGGACCGGCTTAATGACTGCATCCTGTAGGGTAGATGAACATAGGTGAGATTCGCGAGGCCCAGGAGAGCAACTCCAGAGCTGTGGGCTGTGACTCTGTGGGTTAGGGGTGCAGCTGGAATGGAGTGAAGACTTTCAGCTGCTGGGACAGTCTAGTGAAAGAGCTGAGGTACAACAAGATGGGGAGGGGCTAATGGAGGCAGCCGTCCAGCATTTAAACTGACCAGTATGAAACTCAGGTTCAGTTGCCAAGAAACCATCAGTCCACTGGTCCAGCTAGCTCCATGGAGCCACCCAAGTTGTGATAGAGCTGTTTTTTTCCCCCGGAGTCAGGACCCTCTCTGCCAGCGCCCAACCTGATACCTTCTCTCAGAAGCAGCTCATGCCAGAGGGCCTCTTCTTGTCTCCTCTGGAATTTATTTATGCCGTCTCTGACCCGCAGTAGCTGTGTAGACGGTTGGACTGAATGAATCCACCCCTCCCAGGGTCAGCTGCTTTGCTCCTACTTGGGCAGGGTCAGGTTTCAAGCACACACACACACACACACACACACACACACACACACGCATACACACCTGAGATGGCAGTCTGGGCTCATTTTAGGCTGGACTCTGACCCAGTAAATACTCAGCATTCCTCAGAAACCTTGAAAAGTGGACCACTGTTTGCCAGGACAAGCCATTGCATTTGTATCTCCCCACCCAACCTCCAGAGAGGACAGCTAGTTCTTTTTAACCCCAACAAGCCTCCAGCAGATAGTGCCACCACGCTAGTTCTCAGCTCTTGCAGCTAGCATGCCCTCCTTCCGCCGCAAGATCACCCCTTACGGCAGAGCTCTCTCACCGGTTTTGCTGTTTTGTCTGACTTAGCTGGGAAAACACACCTGGAATCTGAGGAGAAAGCAGAAGCGTGGAGGGGAAGGGGTCAAACCGAAAAAGGCCAGCAGCAGCGTGCAGGCAAGCAAGACAGCCAGGAATCGGCTATCTCCCTAGCTGGAAGTTTAGATTACATTTTGTCCAGAAACTGCCCTGGATTTGCTGTATGTTGGACTTACCAGCCACTGAAATCTCCCATGGCCACGTTTCCTATTTCTTAGAGAGGAAACAAGGTCATTGAGGAACCCCAACAGCTCCCCCCTCAAATAGGACATAAAGAACAATGGGTGGGCTAGCTGACGACCCTGAAACGGGGCGTGAAGTGAACAACGACAGCCCATACATAGAAAGGGCAATTGGTCAGCTCAGGGCCCAAAAACCAGATGAGCCGAGTGGTCCATGATAAAGTCAGACTAAAGCAACTTCATGACTTCCTTTCCAGGGAGCTTGACAGAGTGCTGTTCCCCTTTCTGCTAGTAAACTTTCAACCTCAGGAGTACTTGTACCTACATGCGTATTCTAACATTTTGCACAACTATTTCTGTAAGAAGTTGGGATCAGTTTAGGACCCCCCAAGACCAAGTTCTCAGCACAAAGATTTATTTTCCCCAGAGGGCCAGAGGGCAGAAAATAAGAGACAAAGACAGAGACAGAGGATGAGGGAGAAGGGGAAGGTAACAAGGAGAAGGGCAGAGGTATTTGTCTCAGAAGGCGAAGGACTGCCTCTGGATAGAGAGGAGACAGATGTGGCCCATAGGCAAATGGTGGTTTATAAAGGGAAAAGGGGAAACCCCATGTTAGGATGAGATATTTAATTTTAATTGGTCATATTAATTAGGTAAACCAAAGGGGGCTTTTGATTGCTGGACTTGGTAGTGTTAATGTGAGAACAAGACCACTCCACACTTTAAAGTCAAATTTGAAGTAAGTTCTAATTAAATACTAGGCGGGTGGATGGACTCTGGCCTGGTCCATATCCAGATTCCTGGGAAATGGCCCAGAATCAAGTATGGCAAGGACTTAACAAGAAATCTCATAATTCATTGCACCATCAGGTCCAATCAGAGGCTACGATGTTTCCTGCTATGTACATCCTCCTGGCCACATAAGATCAAGCACACCGGTACAGATGGGTCAAACAAACTTGTTTAGGGGAGTGAACACATGTGGTCTCCAGCATTTCAGGAACTACCTGTCCTTGGGCAAGGGGCTTGAAGATCAGAGGCATTTTTGTTTCATGGATTTCTTAGGCATAGTAATTGAAACATAAAATGCAACTTCAGCTCCCTCACCTGCTCATTTTCTAGGCGTATATTCTTGCTTGCTTCCTTGCTCTGATTAAATTCTATGTGTTTTCTATGACACTGTGTCTCAACCAAATTCTCTTTACACACACAGAAACCGATACTGCCGCTGGGGTCAAGACCAGAAGAAACTGATGACCTCCTCAGGACATTGTGAATCTTTGGAAGGACCAGAGAGCAAACACTGACTTCCACAGTCAGGAAGTAGTGTGCACTGGAAACACACCTGTCTGAAGCCCCACCCAGGCTTTGGGGTTATACAGACTTTGGCCTTCCCAACCCCATAATCACAGGTGTCAGTTTCTAAAATTAACTTATTAAGCTATAAATAAACAAAGATTACCCCTATAACCAGGCCATTTAGGAGATTGACGCAAGAGGAATATGAACCAAGGCCAATCTGGGCTACATATGATAAGATAAATGTATGACATATGGCAAAATCTGATCTTCAGATAAATTACACAGACACTGATGTAATGGCCACAATAGTCAATCATCACTATCATCTTGACTAGAATCACCATGGAAGCAGACCTCTGAGGGTGCCCAGGAGAGTCTTTCAGAAGGGTTGAATGACCACCCTGAATGTGGGCAGCTTCATTTACAGGACTGTATTCCCTGGCTAAATAAAAATAAGAAAATGAGCCAAATACCACAAATAACCTCTTTGCTTCCTGACTTAAGATATCGTGTGACTAGCTGTCTCATCCTCTTGCCTCCCTATGTTTCCACCACGATGGACGGGACCCTTGGGCAAAAAGAATCCCTTCCTTGACTAACTTTTCCAGGTATTTTATCAGTGAGAAGGGAAAAGTAGCTAATACAGGAAATCTATATGAGAAATGAGGTCATTAGTGTGGTAATCTAACCACATTAGGAGCAATTTGGGGCTGGTTTGTTGAAGGAACATGGAAGAGTTTGAAATTCTGTGATGTACAATCCCTAAGCAGAATGGGATGTTCTGATTGTGGTGGCTAATATTATAAGTTTTGATTGTTTAAGAGATCTATAAAACAAAAAGCACCTCTAACCCGTAAGTGCCACTTGACTTTCCTGGAATGCTGGAGGCTGTTGGTCATGTAAAATAACAAACCACGTGTTTTCACTTCTGTTAATGCATTTGGTTGCTCCAGTTGCACAGGATGCTTGCTTGACAGCACGTGGACAGGACATATGTCAGCACGTGTGCCTGTCTCTGATTGCTCGAAGGCAGGAAGTATGTAGCCTTGTGCGTTTTGTCTTTTAAAGTCCCTGGCTAACGTAATTTAGCACAAAACTCCGAGCATTAGACTCAGGTATGGACCTGGCCAATGTTTAATAAAGCCTCTTACTTGTTAAAATGTATTCATGGTCAGGCTGGTGAATCTCTGAATGGCCCCATACCCATAACACTGATTAGTGCTCAGGGCACCACAGTGCTGACAGAAATATGAACAATGATGATACGATTTAGGTAAAATTCTGAGGGCCACAAGGCATCCATTGGCTTAAGTCTGCTCGTGTTCCGAGAACTTGAGTAAAGCTGGATTCAAAATTCATGGGCTAATCTGAGTGGCTGAGGAAATCTGAGGATTGGCTACACTCGGGCTGTGCCATGGTTACTGCTCACTGCTCTTATCCAGGTCTCCTGTGAGAAAGAGCACAGTGAGCGGAAGAGAAAGACATGAGAACGTGAAGTCTGTGCAGAAAGGGGTGTGAGAGTGTTTGACGTGGCAAACAAGGAGGGAGAAGAGAAAGCAGCTGTGATGCTCAGTTTAACCCACTAAAAAGAACCCTGTCCTGCCTGGGACAGTAAGGCAGGTGCCCTGAAGGCAAGACCCCAGTCACTGATGGCTCCACTTGAAACAATAAAAATACGTCTGAAAGGAAAGATTCTGGACTAAGAATGCTGCTGACAGGACTCCCTGATGCAAAGTGGTCACCTAGGGAATTGTTTTCCTGGGACAAAAAGGCCATTAGGGTCAGTCATTCTGTCCTATACAAATTAGAAATATACATATTAGAAATATATTAGTAGGTGGGGTTTTTTGCTTGTTGTATGTTTCTTTTTATTTTATTTTATTTTTTTTAGTTGTTGCAAAAAAAAAAAATTTCCGCCTCCTCCTCGTTTTCCATTTCCCTCCCCCTCCTCGCACACATTGCCCACTCCCCTACCCCTCTTTCCCTCCCCCCCCACTCCATTCCCCCTCCCTCTCAAGACTGTAGAGCAGTCCAGATTCCCTGCCCTGCGGGAAGTCCAAGGTCCTCCCACTTCTATCCAGGACCAGGAAGGTGAGCATCCAAACAGGCTAGGCTCCCACAAAACCAGTTCATGTATTAGGATCGAAACCTAGTGCCATTGTCCTTGGCTTCTCATCAGCCTTCATTGTCCGCCACGTTCAGGAAGTCCGGTTTCATCCCATGCTTATTCAGTCCCAGTCCCGCTGGCCTTGGTGAGCTCCCAATAGATCAGTTGCACTGTCACAGTGGGTGGGTGCACCCCTCGTGGTCCTGACTTCCTTGCTCATGTTCTCCCTCCTTCTGCTCCTCATTTGGATCTTAAGAGCTCAGTCTGGTGCTCCAATTTGGGTCTCTGTCTCTATCTCCATCCATCACCAGATGAAGGTTCTAAGGTGATATGCAAGATATTCATCAGTGTGGCTATAGGATAGGGTCATTTCAGGTTCCCTCTCCTCAGTTGCTCAAGGTACTAGCTGGGGACATCTCCCTGGACACCTGCGAGCCCCTCTAGAGTCAAGTCTCTTGCCAACCCTAAGTTGGCTCTGTAAATTAGGATATATATTTCTCTGCTCCCGTGTCCACCCTTCCTTTATCCCAACCATCCCATTCCCCCAAGCTCCCCCCATTCTCCCCTTCTCATGTTTCTCACCCCATTTCTCCTTAGCCCCATTCCACCTCACCCCCAAGTTCCCAGGTTTTCCCCTGTAATCTTGTCTACTTCCCATATCCAGGCGGATGATTATATGTCTTTCTTTGGTTTCACCTTCTTATTTAGCTTCTCTAGGATCATAAATTATATGCTCAATGTCCTTTATTTATGGCTAGAAACCAATTATGAGTGAGTACATCCCATGTTCATCTTTTTGGGTCTGGGATACCTCACTCAGGATAGTGTTTTCTATTTCAATCCATTTGCATGCAAAATTCACGAAGTCATTGTTTTTTACCGCTGAGTAGTACTCTAATATGTATATATTCCACACTTTCTTCATCCATTCTTCCATTGAAGGGCATCTAGGTTGTTTCCAGGTTCTGGCTATTACAAATAATGCTGCTATGAACATAGTTGAACAAATGCTTTTGTCATATGATAGGGCATCTCTTGGGTATATTCCCAAGAGTGGTATTACTGGATCTTGGGGTAGGTTGATCCCGAATTTCCTGAGAAATCGCCACACTGATTTCCAAAGTGGTTGCACAAGTTTGCATTCCCACCAGCAATGGATGAGGGTGCCCCTTACTCCACAACCTCAGCAAAGGCTATCATTGGTGTTTTTGATTTTAGCCATTCTGACAGGTGTAAGATGGTATCTCAAAGTTGTTTTAATTTGCATTTCCCTGATCACCAAGGAATTGTTTTCCTGGGACACAAAGGCCATTAGGGTCAGCAGAACCTGTCAACAACATCACATATAGTACTGGTTCTCTGAGCATGAAACATGAGATTGATGGGGGGTTTGTAGGCTTGCACCAGGCTACCAGAAAGCCGCTGAAGCCTAGTGATGTGTTTTAGAAAGGCCTCAACAGTCTGGTGCATATTGCTGGGAATTTGAATGCTTAGTTGATACGAAGATCCTGGTATATTGGGAGAAGCCATAGAATGCTTTAGGCACAAAGTGGAACAGACTCAAAAAAGATTCCATTTGCTGCCAGAGATTGCTGAAGGGACACGGCTGCCAAGGGATGTTGGAGCAGACATGATTCCATCAGGAGCCCCAGATGTTGGAGATGGAGCGGCTATGTTTTGTTGTTGTTGCTTGTTTCCCTGATTCGTTTCAGTCTTTTGCTTGTTCTTTTCTTATTCTTCTTTTCTGTGCCCATATTATTACATCTTAGACTGAGATGTTTATTCTGTCCTATACATATTAGAAATATATTAGTAGGTGGGGTTTTTTTTTGCTTGTTGTATGTTTCTTATAGGACCTCATAATAAAGGACTCCGCTCACATCTCATAAGAAACTGTGAACTTAAGACTTTTGAATAGTGTTGGGGTTGTTTTAAATGATGGCAGGTTTAGAAGCTGAATAGATGCATTTAGCATTGAGATCAAAATTAGAGCTTGTAAAACAGAGGTGGGGTGTTTGTAATCCCTACTGTACCCCTGCAGGTAGTTGGGAACCGGAGACTCTCTAGATCAGTGCTTCTCAACTTTCCTAATACTGTGACCTTTTCATAGAATTCCTCATGCTGTGCTGACCCCAACCACAACATTATTTTTATTGCTACTTTACAACTATAATTTTGATACTGTTATGAATCATAATGTAAATATCTGTGTTTTCTGATGGTATCACAGATGGTTGTCATCAACCTGATGGTTGAGATCCCACAGGTTTATAAGGACCATTCTAGATGCTCAAGAGAACCTGCCTCAAACGTGTGGGAAAGTAGGAACCAATCCATATTGTCCTCTGACTGCCACACTCACACATTCATGGCTGCATGCATGAACAAACACACTCAGACATACACAAAAATTATCAACAAGTTAAAGACTTAAAATCACGTCAGGACTCTCTGATGAAGTAGATACCCATATTAGAAAATTTTACATGGGAAAAAAAAACAACAAGAAGATGGGGCTGAAGGCTGACTCACTCAGAGGCTAAGGACATGTGCTACTCTTGCAGAGATCATTAGTGTGCTGCCTGCACCACCACCGCCCAGCTAAATAAACACATCTTTAAAAAAGAAAGGAAGGAAGGAAGGAAGGAAGGAAGGAAGGAAGGAAGGAAGAAAGGTCAAGGGAAAAAGTTTTTGTGATTAAGGACATGCCATTATTTGTATTCTTATAGCATGATACCTAGACAATGCACAAAAATCTATCCTTTGCAGTGCTCAGCACACTGTGGTTACCCACGCATCAAGCTTCTTTGTGTATTACTTATGGGCTAAAAATGGTTTTTAAATCGCAAAGAAGTTGGAGTAAGAGAGGAGAGTGAGTACAAAATGAATTGGAATACCGGAACACCTGCAAGTCTAAATATTTATAATATTCCACTTTAAGAAAAAAAAGAGGGAAGCTGGGCAATGTTGGTGCACACGTTTAATTCCAACACTCAGAAGGCAGAGGCAGGAGGATCTCTGTGAGTTCAAGAGCAGCCTGGTCTACAAAGTGAGTTCCAGGACAGTAAGGATTACACAAAGAAACCCTGTCTCAAAAAAAAAAAAAAAAGAAAAAAAACAGAACAGAAGGAGGGAGGGAGAGAGGGAGGGAAGAAAGGAAAGAAGGAAGGAAGGAAGGAAGGAAGGAAGGAAGGAAGGAAGGAAGGAAGGAAGGAAGGGATGATTTGTGATTAAGAGAGCACTGACTGGCTGCTCTTCCAGAGGTCCAGGGTTCAATTCCCAGAACCCACATTACAGTTATAGACAGTTGTCTATAAGTATATGTGATCCAATTCCCTCTTCTGGTGTATGCAGACAAAATACTCATATACATAAAATAAATAAGTAAATCATTTTTAAAAAGTGTTCCAATTTCTTCTATGTATAACAATAACTAATAAATATTTTTTCAAGAATCATTATTGAATATATTCTATGAAATTTTACTCAGGTAAAAGTTGAACAAAATATATATGGCTTATCTGTGATGAGAACTTCAAGACACTGGGTAAAAGAAACCCAGGATAACTCAGTATTTTATGCAGAAGTATACAATATTCATGGATAGGACGGCTCAGTAATGGTAAGATGATGATTCTCCTCAGCCTGGTCCTTTAATTTACCGAAAACTCAAAATCACGGCAGGACTCTTTGCATGAGTAAATTCATTGTGAACTTTATATGAAAACACAAGCGGCATAGGAGATTCAAAAAGTATTCAAAAATAAAAATACAGTTGCAGGATTCCCATTATTCTTCTAAGATGCACTATAAAACTATGAAAATCATCGGAGTATGATAACCGGAAATTACACAATTATCAGTCGCTGAAATAGTCCACCCCAATGTCTACCAAAATACCTACTGGGTACTCTCCCTCGAAGACAATGGTTGCACTCAGAACATTCCCAAGGCAGTCAAGCCCAAAGGTCACCTGCCAGTTTTTTCCCCAAAGAACAAGACCTATGGGATATGAGTAATGCTCCCCCATCACGCTTTTTTTTTGGGGGGGGGGAGGGTGTGAGACAAGGTTTCTTTACATAGCCCTGGCTGTTCAGGAACTTACAGCTCAAACATCTATGGTGGTTCTATCGCCAAAATAAAGTCCGCGCTTGAGCTTGGGTGACTCCGGTCAGCCTGCAGGTCCTGTGGATGACCCAAGAGGAAACCGGCGCCACCTGTCTCATCCAGGCCATCGGTCGTTCTCTACTGTCCTGCAGCGCCGCCTGCTGGCTCTCGGTGAGGCTCTGCTTACTCCGGATTCTCCGAGGAAAGAGAGTGGGGCAGTCCCAGGCCCAGTCACTGAGATCCTGAGCTCAGCGGCTCCACCCGCAGCCACAGCCCGCCCTCCGCCCTCAGGATCAGCTCCGGCTGCCTGCGCGGCTCCTTGTCGTCCGGCCGGAGGCGGAAGCGCAGCAGTGTGAGCGCCAGCGCCACCTTCATCTCGCTCATGGCGAAAGTCTGTCCTATGCAGTTCCTGCGGGAGGGTGGAGGACTCTGAATACATCCGGACCCAACAAGCCCTCAGGGCTGGAACTTGGCCAAGTCCCGGTTGCACCTGGGCAGCCTAGGGGCAGGAGGGGCACTGACGCTCCCGGGACCCCAAATATGCATCCGCACTCCCGAAGTTCACTCAGATTCAGTGCCCAAGATAGACCAGGGCGAAGCTCTGAGCACAGAGCCCCCCTCCTTCCAATCCTGGCTCTCTAGACTTTTGCACACACCCTGAGCAGAGGGAGGGAAGGAGACCCAGAACCTAACCGTCCTGACTTCCCATTCCACCCCCCACCCCCACCCCCCTACCCCCCACCCCCGCTGTCAGCTCCTGGTCACTATCGCTCTCACCTGGGTCCAGCAGAAAAGGGAATAAAAGCCAGAGGTGACCTCTTCTGAGGGTTTTCTGGGTCAAAGCGGAAGGGGTCATAGACCTGCGGGCCAAGCAAGACTAAACTGATGGGCCGTGTCCTTCTGCACACCCAGCCCGCCCCAGGAAAGATAGATATGGTGACAGAAGAGGGACAGTTCTGGATTCCCAGGTACGAGCCTTGCCCCTACCCCCCAGGCCCCAGAATTGGGGGGGTCGCACCTCAGGATCTGTCCAGACTGTAGGGTTGTGATGAACCCCAAAGATACTGATGATACAGTCATTCCCTTTGGACAAGAAGTGACAGTGAGGAGGAAGTCAACCCTGCCACTGGGGACCACACACCCCCCATACAGCCCACACCTTTAGGGATGACCCGGCCATCTGGCAGCACAATGTCCTGTGTGCAGCACCGAGAGATGGAGATGACCGGGGGATGCAGCCGCAGACTCTCTTTGATGCACATGGTCAGGAAGGGCAGCTGGGCCAGGTCGTCCCTAAAGAAACAACACACAATTATCCAGGGAGTAAAAACAATGCCAGGCCTGCTGGATGACTCGGCCTTGGAGGGTTAGCCCCCACGCTTCACGGTCTGAATTCAACACCCAGACCACACAGGGTAATAGGAGAGAACCAGCTCTCGAGGACTGTCTTCCAACCTCCGCACATGTACCATGTACTACATGTACACACACACACACGCCACACACACACACACACACAGAGTAAAGGGTATAGACGGTACTGACCAGCCTCACTGCCATTTGCTGAAATTCCTACTGCCTCCCTGTGATTATTAGTCCTATAACAAAGTTAACTTAAGATGAATCAAACATACTTGTTCATTTTATGTTTATTCGTGTGTGTGTGTGTGTGTGTGTGTGTGTGTGTGTTTGTAGGTCAGAGGTCACATTTGGGCATCTTCCTCTATCCTTCTATATTTTCTGTTTTGAGATAGTGTGTCTCTCCCTGCATGTAAGAACTGGATGGTTAGGTTAGACTGGCTGCCCAGCACAATCCGATCTCCCGCTCCCCGAGCCTTTTACGTGGATTCTGGGCATCCAAACTGAAGTCCTCATGCTAGCAGCAAGTACATTACCCACTGGGCCATCTCCCCTGCCCTGTTAATAGATTTTACTTAGGTTTTCAGACAAGGTGTCACTAAGTAGCCTTGGCTACCCTAGAACTCCCTGTAAACCAAGCTCAGAGATACACCTGCCTCTGCTTCCCAAGTGTTGTACTTAAAAGACTTGTGCTACCATACCTGGATATACATTGTTTTGTTGTTGTTGTTGTTGTTGTTGTTGTTTTTTAAACAAGGTCTCCATATAGCTCATGCTGGCCTCGAACTCCCTATAAAGCGGAGGATGGCTTTGCACTGATCCTCCTGCCTCTGCCTCATCAGTGCTGAGAGAAGAGGAGTGAGCCACTACCCTTGACTCTGAATCAAAGACTAAAACATTAGAAAATCAAAACAAAAGAGAAAAAGTGGGAAAATTTACTTAATATTTTTAGGAACATTTCTAAGGAAAACATACTTATCAAAAGGTATCTTTGCCAAAACAGAATTATCACATACACTTATGTGAACGACCTTTAAAAATCAAATGGAGGCACTCAAGATGTAGTAGTTGGAGGCAGGAGGATCACAATGTTATGGCCAGCTTAGGCTACCCATTGAGTTAAAAGCCAGCCTTAGCTTTAGGAGACTGTGTCTCAGCCAGGTTAAGTGTGCTCGCCACTATTCTAGAGGACCCAGTCTCACTTCCTAGCATCCACACGGGGCAGTTCACAACCACCGGTTACTCCATCTCCAGAGGATCTGAACCCTTTTGGTTTTTGAGGGGCATACTTCATGTGTTCATACCCACACCCGAACATAAATAAAAATAAATCTTTTTAAAAGCGAATAAGTAAAATATAAATACTTGCCTATTCTGACTAAAGCATGGATTTTCCACTGCATCTGAAAAACTGGGCCTATAACGTTGGTTGATCACATCTAACATTTTCCACGATTTATCGTTTCTTTGGGGCGAGAATAAATGCACAGCAGGTTATTGCTAACTCTGACTGGGCTTAGTGGGGAGCGTCCCCGACTAACTGCAACTCTGTACCCACTTCCCAGTTCTCCATGTGCCCCACCCCTTACTGGACTGATTAAGGAGAATGAAAAATCTACGGAGTCCAATAAGACAGCATAAGGGACATTCTCATGACAGAACACAAAGAATTCTTAAAACTCCAAAAGCTTGAACTGAAAGACCAGAAGGAAAGGGAGGTATATTATTCATACAACTGAAGAATCTATGTCATGAGATACCATGAATAGTATTCAAAGGAGTGATTCAGGCATGCCTACAATCCTGTCTGCCAGTTACAATGACATATGTGTGAGCATGTGTTTGTGTGTGAGTGTGGGGGGTGAGTGTGTGTGTATGTGGGTGCATGTGTGTGAGTGGGTGAATGTGTACATGTGTGTGTGTGAATATGTGTATGTGGGTGAATGTGTGTGAGTTGGTGAGTGTGTGGGTGAGTGTGTGGGTGTGGGTGGGTGCATGTGTGTGAGTGGGTGAGTGTGTGTGAGTGGGGGGGTGAGTGTGTGTGAGTGTGTAAGGGGGTGAGTGTGTATGTATGTGTGTGTGAGAGAGAGTGATTCAAATAAACAAACAAAGGACACATAACCCCAGAGAAGAGTAGAGGCTATGATCTAGGAATTCTCAGGGGTCAGACAGTAGAGATTTAACAAGAGATGGCCAAGCTGTTCATGTGATTCTAAGAGGGAGACACAGGAGAAGAGAACAGTGAGTTCCAGGCCAGCTTATAACTAGAAAAAAAATTTTAAATAGAGCCATGGAGGTGACTCCTCAGAGACACTTGCTGTTGATTCTGACCACCCAAGTTCAATCTCTAGAACCCACGTGGTAGGACAGACCCATTCCTGAAAGCTGTCCTTCGACCTCCACATGTGTTCCTGGCACGTGCATATCCCCATCACAGTCACACACAGATAAATAAATCAGTGAGATTGTACAAATCAAAAATAGCAACTACCATTCTGGTGCACAACTGTATTCATGGCACCGAACCTATGCTCACCATTCTATCTCCTCGGGTTCTCGGTCCCTCAGCAGCTCCCGCACCTCCTGCCGGCAGCGCTCCTGGTATTCCGGGTGCCTCGCCAGGTTGTACAGGGTCCAGGAGAGCCCACTGGCGGTGGTGTCATGACCTGAGGGGCACAAAGGAAAGTCTGAGTGTCTTGACTGCTTTAGCATCTCAAGGAAAGGGAAGGGGAGGGTGGATGGTGGAACGGAGGGATCTGGTGTCTTCTCAAAACACCCAATTGGGATTGATAGACTCTTACCTTCACTGTAGACCTACACAGGGACCCTCACCTCCAAACATGAAGGTGTCAGCTTCTGCTCGGATGGCCTCGTCAGACAGCTCCTCTCCGTGTTCATCCTGAAGACAAAACTTGTACCCTCAACTCATTCCATGTCTGAGAAGTGACGATGACCTGAGACAGGTTCTTGTCCCCTTGTGCACACAGAATGCCTTCCCTGTCCTTTCCAGAGTTGGTCCCACACTTCCCTCCTTGGGTTCCTGCTGTTGTCCACTCCTTCCACACAGCGCTCAACAGAAGAACTTCTCAAATGTCTCTGTATCCTGCCCTCGCTTATTATCAACGCTACCTATCGCTTCCCCAAATACCCTCGTGATCAAGTCCAACTTCTATCTAACATTTAATGTCAAGGTTCTTGGTTAAGTTCTCAGTTGAGATCCCACAAAAGCCCACCTTGGCCAACAAGAGCACATCAATGAAGTCCAAAGTCTTAGACTTAGCCTTGGCCTTCACAGACTCATCAACACTTTGGCTGGAGAGGGTGCGGCGTCTCTCCCTGATGACAGCATCTGTGAAGTTGTGCACCAGGTCACAGGCCTTGCGGAAGCGTCGCCCGTCAGCAGTGAGGTAGTACAGGAAGTCCACATAGAGGATGGGCTGAAAGTGCCGTTTCATTATTAGGGAGCTGAGCTCCAAAATGGCAGCAATGTATTCACTGGGAGACCTGCAGGGCAGGCCAGAGATAGAAAGCAACATAACACACATGAAACCCCAGAGAAGTTTCAGCCAGAGTCACAGAAGCATAATTTATCCAGAAAAGGGCTCTAGCCAGGCATACCTCTCCTGCTCCCTATTCCCCATGAGTAGGCTGGCCCACCAGGACTCAAAGGTAGATATGGTTGTTCCTACCATTCTTTCACTCAGCATCTGCTCCATCTTTTCTTTCCTGATTTCTTGCAATCAAGTTCATATCCTCTTCTTCAGATCCCTTGTATCCTGTGTCTACGTGACATTCCTCTACTGGGTCAATTGCCTGGTCTTAGCTGTGACTATGACTCCCAACTGCTTAAATGCCTTCCATGACTGCTTGGAAAACTCAGAGAGTTCATGCCCTTCTTGCTGGGTATACAACATCCTTAAGATCTTCCCACTAGAAAGACATGGTGGCTTCTGACTGCAATCCCAGCACCTGGGAAAGGGAGGCAGGGGGATCATGAGTTCAAGTTCAGCCTGAAGTACCTGTTCAATTCTGAGTTGGCCTAGACAACATAGGAAGATACCATTAAGAAAGGGAAGGGAAGAAGGCAGGAAGGAGAGAGGGAGGGAAAGAAAAAGAGAAAAAAGAAGGAAGGGAGGGAAGGAGGGGGGGAGAGAGGGAGGGAGGGAGGGCGGGTGGTGGGGCGGTGAGGGTGAAAGGCTTGGTGGGGGGGAGTAGGGTGGGCAGCGGTGGGGGGGCCGCGG